TAAAAATAAATTTCAACTGAAATATAAAATATCAGCAGTTATATTGCGGCAGCTGTAATTTATAAATAATAATTTTCTAGTAGTTTGATATTTTCTTTGGCCTTAGACGTATTGAAACGTGTATATGCCGTTAAGTAAAAGATATAAGTTCTAGACAAATATAAATTTAGATTTAAAGTAATCATCATGTACAGAATGTATAGGGCTTCATGGCAATCTGAACTAAATTAGAACGGCTTCTATACTAAATGAATGACCATCATTTAGTAAACTAATTGGATTTGAATTTTAATTATTGCAGAATGTCACATTTTTTATAAAAAAATTATGACTTTATATATGTAAAAAAGCTTTAAAACGTGTTTCCATTCAATTTTAGACAATAAACAGTCGATAATTAAATAAAATATGCATTAAGATAAAACTGTAATAAAATAAACCAGGTATAAAATATCTACAAAGAATAGTTACTGAAGAGAATCATAGTACCCTTTTTTTCTTTATGTACAACTTTATCAGTGTAACGAGATTTTCGAAGTGTGCTTACCTACTCGCCGGTTAACCACATATTTGTACCAGTTACTATAAAAGCTCGCGAAAATATCTTAAAAAAAAAAACAATAATAATAAAAACACCAAAAAGTATAAAACGAAGTTACGCTTACTTTTAAGGTCAGATAGCGTTTCTAAAAGCTTTTAAAGACGATGCGTGTAAACAAAGTGAATTACATATTTTGTTTTTTAGTTGGCCGTGCAAAATTCTATTGAAAATAGTTTTATATCGACATGATAAAAGAGTGGTTATTATTATATCGGAAAAGAAAAAATGTTTCATATCTTATAGTTGCCATATTTAAAAATTCGGGTAGACATTTTTATAGAACTATGAAGTGATATTATACGTTTTAGAATTTTGGTGGCAAAATTATTTTCGGTTTCTATAAGTAATGTGATAAAGAAAAAACAAATTTACAACTAAAATAACACAATTCCTTTTGATGTATATAATACCTAACGGTACCGCTCTAATTCATTTGACTGATTTAGATTATTATCGTTTTACAACTAATTAAAAGCCTCATTGTAGTACTAATACGATTTAAACGGTTAGCTACGTGAAGTCATACAAAGTGTCGACTTGTATTTTCCCACAGTTGAATGTAATCAATTGAAAACGGAACCTACAAACATTTATGCGTATTAAAAAAAATAAAAATCGGTTATTTTAGTTGTGCTATGATGAATGAATCTCACACCCTCGCACATCAGCATATCAGTAATTTATTAGGTATAAGGTATTTTATCGAATTTAAAAAATACATGTTATTGAGCATTTAGCGCTATTAATATATGCTTAAATATCACAAGACAGCCACGATAGTGATCTTGTAATACTATTAGTGTTTTATATTACTCGTCGTGATCAGATAATAATGATACTTGAGGCATAACGAGTTAATTTCGTATTCTGAACGGCCCACGACGTCCGATAAAATATTTGGATCTTGTCGACTATGATTTATTAACTTTACAGTTGGTAACGCTGTCGGTACATATATATTGAGACGTTCAACGCGGACCTCTTTCGTTGAGTTGCAAATGCAGTACCTGAGAAAACCCGGGCCGTTTACGAGTTGGATAATTGAACAGCTGTAATGACAATATTTAGGCGCGTCTTGCATTGGACGTACAACGATACAAGTTGTACTGTGCAGCAAATTGTACAGCCGAGTGGTACAAAAACTGTTCACCGCGTTTAATCTCGTTTTGGAGGCAAGTTTGTTGATATCACCGCACTTGCCGCAGGGGGATCGAGTAAGCCAATATGCAAATATTATGGCTCGACGGAATATAATAGAATATTGTTTGTTCTGCGGCGCGGTCGATGATAGCAGATAATATTGGTCTGGATTGGACGGTGTGTTTAAAGTGACAGCGACGGCAATAACCGCCGCGAGCTGGGGGGCCGGTCAGGTTATAATAATAATTAGTAACCAGCTACGTCCGTGACCCTTAAATAGTCAGTAGGACAAATTAATACACGTATTATACATTACACTGTGTGATGAACCATTAGCACGAGGTGCCTATTGTTTTTACGGCTTAACGACCCATCCATTGAACGGCAGAGAATGGTGTTGTGCTCTGCGAACAAGGTTTATTATACATTAGCTGTACTGCACCGCGAAGGCACGCAAGTGCCGAAAACCAAGCACTGTGGGTAAGCAATAGAGAGGAAAACAAACAGTATGTAATGGAGCGATCTAAATTCTGAATAATTTAGAGGGAGCGCGTTAAAAAAATGAAAAAAATAAGCGTAAGCGATTGTAAAATAGATAGACACACGTATTATAGTAAACTAGGAAGACCCCTTTGCTCCCACGCGGAATAATCAATGCAAATGTTTAAAAAATTATTCATGAATAATTTTGGTTCGTGTAAAACGAGCTCTGACTACAAACATACACACTCGCAGCTATCGAAGACTTAACGGAAGCGTTTGTTGGTACCGAGTAAACAGTGGAAAAAAAAAAAAAAATGACTGTATGTCTTTTACAATTTGCGATTAAAACGAGCCAGCGATTATCACACAGTATCCGAGTGCGCGAACATTATTAAGGCGTCTCAGTCAACGACCTTGCTCGCATCAACTGTGTAACATCCCCTTGAGGTCTACTAAGCCGTTTCAAAATAATTGTACGTCAGCACATGATAACAAGGGAAATGGAATTCGGACAATGAATTTCACTGAGCCGGTGCTACTTTGAATATAATATTCTTTTAGACGGCAACCAGTACTTTACCAATAGAAAGACTAAGTTATCGGCATTATTTAATTTAAATTATTTCGCGTAAACAACGGTAGTTGAAAAAAAAGGAGAATTCATCATCGGAGTACACGTTATTCCCAAAAAAAGGGGTCATGACGTATTAAGTATTCGACAGCGTCAGCGAAAAACACAAACACTGCTAAACCAAAAGAGCTCAACTCCCTCAAAACGCTTGTTAAAACCCTTCCGAATCGGACAGCTGCCACGTGAAAAATCTCTCCCCATCGCGTGTGTTATTAAAAAAGCAATGGCAGTACGTCACATTTTCTATTATATTACTGTTGTATTTTCCTACACTACACGAAAACATTATTTTTGATACGAAAAGAAGATAAAAAGTAACGGCGTGCATGTTGGTGTATACAAACGCACACACTCTTACCAACAATGTGTACGTTGATGACATTAACATGCAGAAGTAATTACAACAAGAGTAGTTATTTCAGTGTATATGTACAAATTGAATAATACATTGACCGTCAATTTGGTAAAAAAAAATATATATATAACGACTGCTATACTAATACTTTTACCTTTTTAGTGTGATTATTGTTCGAAATATCTGTTGATAATCATTACTAAAAGTTTTCTTATATTCAAACACATTAATGTTATCAAGTACACGCGATGTGGACACTCGTTCTGTAGTCTTTTATTCTTTTCATTGTCAAAGCAATAATTATTCAAACGAAACGCGCACCGGCATTTTTGGCGGTCGATATTAAATGTAGGACGTAAAGGGGGAAAGTTTTGTTGAAAAATTAAAAAAGTTAAGTTTGGTTTATGGATTACGCAATAATATATTTGTACAGTATTACAAGCAAACATGTATTTTTCAGCAATGACATTCGAGTGGTGAAAATCCTATTCCGTAGGGGTTACTTTTTTATGTATAAATCGAATTATCATAACGAAAAAAAACAGTGTGGAATCGCTTGCAATCGACCGGAAAAGGATGAACACACTGTTAGACTTACTGAATATTTTCACACCGAAAAACAAACATATTATAATATTGCATTTTTGGTCCAATCATATCCGTTCTGTGCGTTCGATATTATCTATGAAAACGTGATTTCAAAGCGTTTTCGATACTTGTTTCCAGTTGAAAAAAAAAAAAAACCATAGAAATGTTTTTGTACTAGAAGAAATGAGCTACTACTATTTGCTGTTGAATTAAACAAATTCAAACATTGAGGTAACATTGGTACGGTTACATGAGTTCAGTCATTTCCGACACTTGAAAAACAATTTTTTTTTTACCCGGTGTTATGTACGAATGACGCGCGCTTGTAATTAAACAAAATAAAAATTACAATAACTTCAAAACGAAAGAGAACTCATTAAAGTACGTCTATATGCGTATTACACGTGATATGCAACGGTGAGCACATTTTTTTTGGTGCTAATACAGTTGTTTAATTTCCAAAAATAATAGAGAACTTCATAAAACATCATAGTCTCTCAACGTTCTCTAGGTAATCTAACATTATTTTGATGTTGCGGATAAAAATAATTATTCGTTAAACGTCCGAAAAATTGGCCCTGCGCCTACGTATAAGGATTGCGGTTGGTCGTGAATGGTTTTCGCTAAATCTATTAAGGTTTTGCGGCATTTCAATTGAACGTTGCATTGTAAAAAGTAAACATTGTTGTTTTTGATGTTACCCGCGATGTTACAATGATAACATAATTGTTAATTTAATCGCTGTGTACATTTAAATGCTTGTGGAAAGGCGACAAAAACTACATGGGCAGAACGATTGTGAACGGATAAAGTTCAAGTACACTATAATAATAAAACCATATGATGCTTTTTTAGTTAGTGATATTTTAACTGTTCATATCCAAAAATGTTCTGGAGTTAATTTAATTTGGTGGTAATGAAACCGTACAAGGGCTTAAAACAACAAATATCGAATATCACTCGAGAAGTATTTTATCCTCAACTAATATTTACTCAAAATAATATTTTTAGGTCATCGGGCGCGTTTTAATATTTGTTTTGTCATTATTATATTTACTTAGAAACAAAGTTTAGGGTACGTTTCTCAATAAAAGTGTTAATTGCTGGCTAATTTCATTATTCGACGAGTATCTTCTCAAAAATATTTATGCTTAAAAATTTATACTCGAATAGAAATCAATTCAAAAAGGAATGAGACTCACCTGTATTGGCCCAAGTTATTTAAAATGGCGCGATCGCGTAAAAAAACCAAAAATAAATTAATAAAATAAATAAATATTTAACGTTGAAGAAAAAAATGATTGATTGAAAAAACTTAATAAAAAAACAAACACAAAACATAAATAATTTAAATGGAAAAAAATTTAAAGGGCGATTACTGCTATCATCGTAATACTCAATGGTGACGCGAGCAAAGAGATAACGTTGTTCGGTTGAAGAAGGCGGCACACGAATGACCGTTGTTAGTTGCCGTATGATCGGCGTACTGTTCCAGTCGACTGTAGCGCGCGCACGGAACAGCACCGTCACTGCCGCCGGTGATACGGTAACGGCGACGGTGCAATACCTGTGCGCGCGCGGCAAATAGATGCGCCGGCGCTGGACGGACGCCGCGGTGGCTAGGTGCGCGGAACGCCGTCCTCAGGCGTTGCAAAGGAGGGGTGAATGGCTACAACCCACGCGTACGATGGTCGTCCACCGTCGCCGCCGATCGGCCAGGCTCGTTGCCGCCTATGGGGCATTGCACATCAATACACACCCGAGGCCACGTGCGGCGCGACCACACCCTTCGCACCCGCAACCCTTTTTACCACTACACCCACGAGATTGCGGGTCGGGGTAACCGTTTTTATTACCATTCGCCGGGCGCAACAGACTGGGCTACCGCATGACTTCCAAACTTGATAATGCTCATACATGTATTATTATAATTTGCATGTTTTTTTTCCAAATATTCGCAATAAGTATACCTACGTTGGTTAACACTTACACATTTTTTTTTCATTAAAATTCATCATCGACATTAGGTAGTAGTTAAAAAAATAAAAAATAATAAAATAAAAAAAGATTATCCATACCCAAGTGAATAGTAGCATTGTACTGTAATTTGTTTTACTATCAATTATTTCTGCATTAACATATTATCATACACACATAATTTACCCTAAGAACACAATTAATCTTTTTTTTTTTTTTTTCAAACTACGTAGTTTTTAATTTTGTTATTTTTCAAATTATTTTTACGCAAGATATAATTATTGAACAAATTCTCAAAATAAAAGCGTATTAAAAAATTAAATGGAACTATTGCTACAATTCTTGTACATTTAAGTAACAATAGTAAGTAAGAATCATTTATTCATCAGCAACGATAAAAAATAACGTTTTTTCATTAAGTATCCCTTACTTAGCATCTTAGCTGCCAATGATCTAAATTTGAAATGACGGTTTCGTGCCCCAGATTTTACCTCTTTATATAACAACCACCGTGATCATCGTTAAATACTCATGAGAGGTCGAAACTCTACGTTGTACCCAAACTGTGTTAAAATAAAGCCTTTAAATTACAATGATTTTTGCATAAGCAAACCAAAATGTTGATAATTATTGTCATGTAACGTGTGCAAACATTAACTTGTTTTTTATGTTAATTTACGGTACAGTTTTGACAAAATATTTTGTATCATTACCTTTATCACATGAAAACTTAATGTCAACATAATTTTGGGTGCGTACCAGCACTAAATAATTTAAAACATTTTTTTAAAGCCCAGTAAAATTAAACACGAACAAATTTATTATTATTTATGTAACATAAAATTTTAGTTTATTTTTAGTTGACTTCGAAATTAGAAATTTGGTAGGTAATAATTACATGTTCGACGATAATATTTTTATGACATGTTAGCTGTATAAAAATCACGATAAATTTAATAATATACAACATGGGTGTTTTTTTATATTTTAAACTATTGAATATCTATTCAAATATTTTTTATGCAACCGAATATTTATATTTAGCATACACTATCAAATATTTAAAATCTATTGAATAGTTTAAAAACAATTCCACTCTAAAAAGCTATGTTTGTGTTAGAGAGGATGAGAAAAACCACATTAATGCGCAACAGAATCACACCGGTGACACTGAGGTACGACATACTTTTTTTGCACACCAAACTAAATATTGTTAAACATGTTAATGTGCAATAAACACGTATAAAATGTCAATTGAAACAACATTTGTTGTGTTATTTATTTGTTAACATTTGATGTCGATAATGTTATTAATAAAACATTGAAATGCCTAAATAATGATAAACAGTGATCGATTTATAATTGATATTACTTAATTTTGTATGCATAAAAGCGCTACGTGTCTCAGTGCATAGTCATTGGTGTTTAATTCCATTGCGGTGGAAATTGTACAAAAATATTGCAAGCATAGAACTTTGAGAAAAATACTTGTAATTAATTGAAAAAAAGAATTATTAACGGAAATTATAAAACATTTAAATATTTGAAAGTTGACACGTCAAAAAAAAAAAAAATGAAATAACGACACTGATTTCATAAGAAGAGTATTACATTGACATAAGTCTATTAGCTTTTAATTATTGTCAGACTATATTTCTTAATTTTTAAGTATTTAAACCTGTAAAAATATCCTCTGGAAATAATATGAACACCGAGATAAACATTAAAGTCTAAAACATATTATCAAATTTCATATTTAATCGAAATTCAGCATGTATTTATAGCTGCAAAGAAATTTTTTCTTTTAGTATTTTAAAATTATTATTAATTTAAATAATTGGTTCAGTCCCCTTTGTCGAGGCTATGTATATTCTGGTTCATACTCGAATTGGTTTTTGATAGTTTTGATATAAAGCACATTGAATAAATCTATCAAAATAATTTGATCCGTTCTATTTAGAAATAACTAATGTCGAAGTAGTATCATTTCGTCTATTAGTGTGAAGTTAATCTAACGAGAATTCGTACAGTTTTATTATAATCATATCTTTGCTAAGTCGATTACGAAATATAATTGGTATGGTTGATGCGGATAATGAATTTTCAGCAAGATCCTTTGAGGGTTATAGTTACAAACTGGAGAACTTTATTGAATTCTGCTAAACCACTTTAGTAGTTCTTTTTATAAAGTAAATACCTGAAATGAATGTGGGACGTATTAAAGGAATATAATAATGTATGTAAATGTTCGATAAATGTTTTGCAAGTTTCTTGGTTTGTCTAAATCAGTTCCAAGAGACACGTGTTCGTTAAAAGTACGCGCACTTATTTGAGTAAGATGAGTAAAGTTCGAGATGCTTGTTTTATCCGTATTCTGACAAAAAACATGAGAATTTATTTGTACCGGAGAGGTGCTTTTCTACAAATGTGCAACTTAACTTAATCGTAGTTCTTAAAACTTGGAATTTAGTACAATTGTAGTAAAACTTGAGTGGTCGAGTATTCATTAAAATTGTTGTAAGCAATGTATTAGCATCAAAAATCATTTTTATTTTATTCTGACTAATTAGAAATTTGGTTCTTTTAATTGTTATTGAGGGATATTATAAATAAAAGTCAAATAATCATTTCATTAATAAAATTGTAATATGATTAATCCTTTAGAAAAATAACAGTTATTGTCAAATAGGGACTTTCTTTGCGGCACGGAATATACATTTACGTACTTAAAATTTTGTTAATTTGACCCTTAAGACACAGTCTACTTAGGCATAGTCTTTCAACATCTAAATAAAAAACTTTCCTACTCAATTCTGTCCTGCATTGTGACCTCGACTATATCTTTTTGTACAAAAAAAATTGAATTAACGATTCCGCCATCAATAATATAAAACTTATAAATTGTATTTGTATATAAAATGTTTCATTAAATATTTTTAAATTAAAATAAAAATAAATACAAGTCCTGAAATTTGTACTAATATTAAACTAAAAATATTAAAATATTTTAGACTTAGTTTTCAATAAAATGAATACTATTTTGCTCATGAAAACTCAAATATTTTTACAATTTAAGTTCTGTCAAAGCTGAACATTTTCAACATCGTGATTTATAAAATAATGAAAGTGACATAATTTGATATCGAAATAGAAAATTTATCGCAAGTAAATAACTAAGAAGTAGAAAAAAATAAATCTAAAAAAGAAAATATCTGATGAATCAATGTCGTATTTGATGTAGAAATTTTCATCAAGTTAAAATAAACGTTATGTTTGAATAAATATTGAACAATAATGTTATTAGCGTTGCTTTTTGTTGGACTATCATTAATTTAATTTTTACTTTTGTAGTAGCTGGTGGGAAACTTATTTTATTTATGAAAAAATGTAGGTGTTTTTAATGTAAATACAGAATAATTCTAATCTTAAATGGTAGTTGGTCGTATTAGCGATAAAAAAAAAGAAAAATATTTTGATTAATAATTTTATAACTTCTCAAGTGAGAAAATTCTCGCTTCCTAAATACAAAAAGAATCTTACATTGACACTGTGTCTGAATGATTTATTAATTATCTTATTGAGATTATTCTAAAGCGTATCAGTGTTATAGCCAAATCATAAATCGTTCATATAATTATGATATTACACCAGGTAAAATATAGTCACGACATTGCTATGATAATAACAATAATGACATCTAAGATTGTATTCATAAACAGCAATGCGAGAAAACTTTTGATTTATGGTGATAATGTTTAAAACGACTGAAATGATGTATGTATAAGTATCCCATAGATATCAATGATGTGCATTATTATAATCCATATAGTATTAATTTTTCACATAATACTACTGTATTAATAGATACTACTAATATAATAATAATAGATAGAAATTGTAAATTCCTAAATTGATTTTAATATTTTTTATGTACATTTACACATTAAAAATAATGTTTTCATATAAAAATATATAAATTTTATACTTTTGCATTGGTCACAAAAATAGATTAAAATTATATTTTTAAAATATTGTAAATTGGAGTTTATTTATTATTCTAATAATATAAAATTTAAATTTACAATATAACTAAAATAATATGGAAATGTATAGAATGTTTATTTATCTATAAATAGTTAAATTAAAATTATATCGTTTTAATTCTTACATTAATGTTGTATTTATAAAAATAAAATTGTGTTTTTTTTTTTTTTAAATTATGTTACTTATTTGGTTATTCTAGTTAAATTTCTTAGTCAATTAACAAATACTTTACAGTGTTGATCTCATTAAAATAGCACAACAATTGTTTTAATTTTGTAGATATAGCAAAAAAATTAATAAAATATTAATACAATTGTTTTGTTGTATTCAAAAAGTTGTTTGTTTATATCATACTAATTAAGGTTTATGAGAATGTTTTTTAATAACTTATTCATAATATGAATATTAGTTGTGCGGTATAAATAATTTAACATAAATACTTGTATATTTCACTTTTACACTATAAATATACAAGTACTTTACTCGAGTCTAAAACCATATAAAAATCCTAATGATGTAAATGAATATATATTTATGCTTGAATTATAGATTCGTTAGTAATTAACAATAAAAAAC